GTGACACAAGGAAGGCCCATTTGGCCATGGCGATGGTGCAGCTATTGTATGGAGGCTACCATGTCATCACCAAAGTGGCTCTTAATGTTGGGGTCAACCAATTCGTCTTCTGTGTTTACCGGGATCTCATTGCCCTTGCTATTCTTGCTCCTCTCGCTTTTTTCTATGAAAGGCATGTTCTTTCAACCATTTACCATTATGCTATATTTCTCAAGTTCTAAAATTCCCTCTAATTTGCATAGGTTATACATGCTTTGCACATTTAACTGACCTACAAATTCAGACTTTAGAATTGGAGTTTTAACTTTAAAAAATAAAATAAATTGAAATTGTGCCCTCTTATATCACTTTATCGCTAATGTGTGAGTATCCTAATTATACCATGCTGGCTGTAGACAGACAAGACCACCCATTACTAAGCAGCTACTGTTGTCATTCTTCTTTCTTGGATTAACTGGGTAAGGTTCTTGCTATAATCACTTATTTCCTATTTTCATTATATATGAATGGGACAGTGTTTTATTGATGCATATGGTGTTTTTTCTTCTTGATTCATGATCAGGATATTTGGCAACCAGCTCTTGTTTCTTATTGGTTTAGGCTATACTAATCCAACTTATGCTGCTGCCATACAGCCAGCCATTCCAGTCTTTACATTTCTTTTTACTGTCATGATGGGGTCAGTTTCACTCTTCTCAATTTCTACTTTAGTGTTTTATGTATGTGTGTACAAATATATACCACTAGTTCCATCTTTTTCTAGTACAATAGACACAAACACAAGTTCATAATTATAGTACAGAAATATGTACACTAATAAAAATTATTCAGATAGATACAGGAGGACTTAAAATAATGTGCAGCTTAATAAACTTATTCATGCAGTACAGAAAGAGTGAACGTGCTCAGATATGAAGGTCTGGCAAAGGTTGGAGGAACTCTTATCTGTGTTTGTGGTGCCATATTGATGGTTTTGTATCGTGGTCCAGCCTTGATAGGACATGCAGAAATTGTCCATGTAGCACAAAGTGAAATAAGTGCCAGGGGTCAGCCAGAGCCTTCTGGATGGTTAATCAGTGGTTTACAGGATCTTGGATTAGACCATTTTCAACTTGGGGTTATGTGCTTGATAGGGAATTGCATGTGCATGGCTGCTTTTCTAGCCATTCAGGTATCTATCTTTTTGTTCTATCTATTAAATGATACTTTTATTGAATAAAAATCCATTAAATTGCTGTTGATTATAGCGTTAAGGAAAAAAATAGTGATCAGTGTCACTTCTTGCCTCTGTTACCCATTCACTAAGCCACAGCTTCTATTCATTATACACCTGGGAGGCTGGGATGAATCTTAGTTCTTATTAGGAATTATCCTTTCAACATAAATTCCGATGATTTGAATCAAGGTCTTCGTTAATGGTTTCTCTTTGAGTCTTCTTAGGTTTTTCTCCCCTTTTAATCAAACTATTTTCCGTTTGATCCACTTACTCATAGGAGTTTATTTTGGTCTTCTTCTAACACGACGAAACCACCATAGGCGAGTTGGAAGTGAAAGGAAGGGGAGGTTAAATGATGACTTTCTTTTCCCTTGGATATATGTTTAAAATCAGATATTTGTCATCCAAAAGCCCTCCAAATTAGGGGGAAAAGTTTGGGGGTGAGGGCAGAACAGTTGTGATATATTGATTTAGCTACCATAAAATAAAAAATCCTCCCAAACAAGGGACAACTTATGAAGAAACCTTCCATTTTTCATCTTTCCCCCCACTGTCCTCCATCTAGACACACTCACTGTAAACTCATACACTTTGATATTCGACGAATTCACAAAACTTTCATATCTTCTTTTGGTCAAACCAATCCTTTCATACTTGTTATCACATTAAATGACTCATTGCCAGAAGCACCAATCTTAACATTAGATCAATTGTGCTAACTCAACTTTTGTGAACCCGTTTATTATGAGCTTCGGTTGTTTTATTTGTGAGATCATTGGTGTGTTTAATTTATTGTCATTTATTTTCAGGCACCAGTATTAAAAAAGTATCCCACAAACCTATCTGTCACAGCGTATTCATTCTTCTTTGGAGCTGTACTAATGGTGATAGTATCGTTATTCGTGACTAATGAGTCAACTGACTGGATTTTGACTCAATCAGAAATACTTGCTGTTATTTATGCCGTGAGTCACTAGAATTTTCAATTAATCTCCAATCTCTTGAACTCTTATTAGTCATTGCTATCATTTGATCAATATTACTTCATGGAACTATTTAAGTTGTCTTCTAAACTTTGCCCCTGTTTATTGTTTGTATTGTTTCATTCAACACATAAGATGTCAATTATTGATGTTTGGTAAAGGGAGGCACTCTCAATGAAATGGGAGACAATATTATGAATTTGTGATGCTCCTACTTTGTTGATCAAGGTGCTCTAATTTTCAGGGCGTTGCTATTATGGAAGTTGGGAAAATGAGGAAGAAATAGTTGTTCTTGCATGTGATTTTACAAGTTTTCCTTAGTTTTAGGTTTTAACTTGGATTTAGTTTTGATACACCATTAGTGTAAAAAGTTTTATCTATTTTAAAACCATATGGTGCCACCTGTTTAAAAAACTGTTAGTAGGTTTCTTACTGAAAGTGAAAAACCTTTTGTAAGATTGAAAATTCAAGATTAGCTCCTCTCACGCTCTCACTTGATATGCTATGCCCCCTAAATATATATAACTTTAACGATTTGTTGAAGTAGTTCAAATATTTCTTATATATTGTATATTGGTAACTCAAATCATAAAACATAGTTGTTGACACTTGAGCAGTTAACAGTGGCTCAGACATGATACATTACAAACATCATGCCATCATTCAAATATAATCACTTTTTGCTATTTTGTATGTCAGATCTAAATTTGGAATTTTGGTTCTTGAGTCTTTATTGGTTTACTAACATGTAGGTATTAATGAAAGAAAAAAAAAGCAAAGAACAAATCTGTTGGGATTAGATGAAACCAAATGTTTGCGTTGCATATGGTGACTATAATTCTATTTTACTGATGATCTCTTGGCCACTCTCATGCCAGGCAGTTCAAAAAAAAATGCACAAAATCACTAAAAAGTTTCTGTAAAGCATTACACCCATGTTCTAGGTTAATTTTTGCGACCAAACTAGTGTGATCCCATCTCATTTGTATGAACCACATAGATAGACCACCTTTTTGTTACCTAAGCAACTCAACTTGGCATTGGCCTTATTAGCAAAAGCCACAAAACTGTTTCTACTCTGGGAGCAGCAAAAGTTGAGAATAAGATGGGATTTTAATGTTATGGTTCAGGGATTTGTTCTGTCTGGTGAAGCAAGATTATTAAATGGAGGGCAAAAATAACTTGTAGTCTTGCACAGAAGTCAAAGAGGTCATCATATGTCATTGAAAATTGTGTTTCGGTAATATGTCCTAAAGTGGTGAACAGAGGAATGAAAACAACTGGGGTAAAGAAATGAGGGTATTTTTTATTTTTATTTTTTTGGAGGATTACAAGATTTAAAGTATCCTGTGCTCTTACAAATATTTTGATAGTAGATTGTTTTAGTGGATTTTTAACATGTAGATTTTGACAAATCTTTTCCTTATTTGTTCAGGGAACTATTGCATCTGCCCTTAACTATGGACTCGTCACATGGTGCAACAAGATCTTGGGGCCAGCTTTAGTTTCCCTTTATAATCCACTTCAACCTGCGTTTTCTGCCCTTCTGTCCCAAATTTTCCTTGGAAGTCCAATTTACTTGGGAAGGTATAGCTCCTATTACTTCCTGTTATTGATGCATTCTATTCTAACTAGACCAAGTGGCTAAAACCTACTCACCAACCGCAAAAGAGTAAGACATTTGAAAAAAAAAAAAAAGGGCAATCCAGCACTTCATTTTTTGTAACAACTTTACTATTTAGGACTTATAAAATGTGTTATCTAGTTGAACTTAATAAAGTTCTTCCTCTTTCTCTAGCATTGCACCCTGAAATTTATTGTGAAGTTTCTTATTATTATTATTTTTTTATCCATGTGATGACAGTATCATAGGTGGATCTTTTATCATTGCGGGTCTATATACGGTTACTTGGGCATCTTATAGAGAAAGACAGGCAACTGTTGGAGTCACTGAACCACTTATTCATGAAAGAAGTGCATACCAGAGAGGTCAAATATTTTCGGAGTCCTCCAGCGTATCACCAAACCCCAAGTCATCAGAAGATTAAGGAAATGAATTGTAGAATGCCAATGCCTTGTTAAAAATGGTCTCATGATTCTTCAATCTGTTACTGCTATCATTTTAATTGGTAAATCTATATTTGATCAAGTCCAGTAAAAGCCTACAACCTTGTATAAGTACTTTTAAATTCACTATTGCACCATCAAGTATCATCTATAAATACTTCCATCTTAATTTAAGCATCCCATTTATAATATTTTATGTCGAATTCATATATAATTCATCTTTGTATATTAAATCAGAGTTCACTGTTGCTGAGTACTTAACTCTCATTTTTTTTTTACACTTCCTTATAGTTCTTTCTTTTTTAAATTTTAAAAATATACATATGATATTCTTGGTGGTTATGTACACGACCATGCAAAAGTTGACTAACGATAATAAATTAATAATATATATATATTGGTCGGCTGATTAAAAAACTGTATTATTTATTTATTATTTTACTAAAAAAATCAAATTTTATTCCCATCACTCAATCGCTTCCTCCATCGCCAAAAGACAAAAGTTACGGTCTTTGGTTAAAGCATGGCATTTACTTTCACATGATTGCCAACCCCACATCATCGCTCACTTTTTCAGTTTCCGACAATGTGTTGAAGCTCACCACTGTCATTATTAATCTTTGTGAATTCATGGTTTTTAACAAATGCCACGTTGGATCACTTACAAACTACAGATAAACAAAAACAATCCACAACTACAACCACTAGGTTATTGTTGTACCTGTTCTCATCAATTATTTACCAGCAACCACAAATTAGAGCTTATCAACCCAAGAAATTAATCAAATTCAAGCACCTTTGATTCAAAAGCTCAACACTTTTTTTATCCCCTTTGTCATTCTGTTTGTATCTTTCAGACCAAGCATTGAGTTTGGTGTTCTGTTCATTCTCCTATCACTGTTTCATCAACCAACCATCACCAACCACCCCATCTTCTCTCTTCTCTCTCTCTCTCTATCTTTAACTTTTGTGTGGGAGTTGCAGAGAGCAAGATAGTGGATTCTAATGGCAGCAGCTTCAGGATCAGTGGGGGGTGACACATGGAAGGCCCATTTGGCCATGGCACTGGTGCAACTATTCAATGGCGGCTACCATGTCATCACCAAGGTGGCCCTTAATGTTGGGGTTAACCAATTCGTCTTCTGTGTCTTCAGGGATCTCCTTGCCCTTGCTATCCTTGCACCCCTTGCTTATATCCGTGAAAAGTATGCTCTCTTTTTTTCTTCCTTTCTCTTTATTCTTTCAAATCAACCATTAGTGATTTTATTTGTACTGTATTTCAAAAGCTATAAAAATGCACCCTTTTACTCTTTTGGTTTTTCTCGTTGGAATCAATTGAAAGATGCGGTACTCATCAGAAGGAATTCCTCGCTGACTCCCCTTTGCCTTCAAAAACTTTCACAATTTATTCTTTGATTCCCCCTTTTGTAAAGTTTTGAGTTTTGTGTATTAATTTCCATTTGGTTCTAGAAGACTTTAATCAGTTAGAATTGGATGCTTAAGCGCCTTTCTTTTTCCCCACATGTCCCAATGCATAATTTGGAGGGTTACTGCCTTCGTTGGTTAGTCATGTTTGCAACACTGACCTATCATATGTGAATGTTATACTACCATTTCTGTGACCTTCATTTTTTTACCATTGGATTTTAGGTGGTAGGTTAATCCTATTTGTATGAAAATATACACGTTTATTGCTATATAGAGCTTTCCACCTGCTAATTTAGAGCGTGCTCAATATTTAACTAATATTATAAAGCATATCCTTTTTGACATTAGTTAGAGGTAATTAATTGTCATCTAATATCTGGTTCTAGAAATGTTAATGTTTGTTTGTGGCTAATGGTTCCAGACTTCAATACTATCATCATATATATGAGGATGACTGATTGACTGTAATTTTGATTGTTGACAGCATAGGTTATACGGTATACCTGCTTTGCACATTAAACTGTGCTACGCATTCAAAGTTTAGAAGTGAAATTTTAACTTCCAACTTTTTTGTGTCCACTAAATCATATCATATTCTTCACTTTATTTCAAATGTATGAGTATCTTAAGCATACCATGTTGGATGCAGACGGACACGACCACCCATTACTAAGAACCTCCTGATGTCATTCTTCTTTCTTGGATTAACTGGGTGAGGTTCTTGATACTAGTCACTTATTTCCTATTTCCATTATATTGAATGGTACAGTGTTTTGTTGATGCATTTGGTATTTTTGCTTCTTGCTTCATGATCAGGATATTTGGCAACCAGCTTTTGTTTCTTATTGGTTTAAGCTATACTAATCCAACTTATGCTGCTGCCATACAGCCAGCCATTCCAGTCTTCACTTTTCTGCTTGCTGTGATGATGGGGTCAGTTCCATTCCTATCATTTATCATTTCAACTTTAAACTTTATGATACACACACAATCCTTTTATTAGAACACAGAGACCCAAATGCACAATCTTAATTGTAGTGCAGAAATGTGTACATTAATAAACTTATTTGGATACACTAAGTGTCTGTTTGGATCCTCTTATTTTTAGCTTCTCTTCTCCTTATAAGCAGAAGCTAGGCCAAACATGTTTTAAAAAAAGATTTTATAAGAAAAAAACTCTTTTTTAATAATGAAGAAAAAAGCCAAAAGCCAAAAGCTCCTAGGAGGAGCTTTTTTGGAATTATGTGCTTTTTTTGAAATGAAAAGCCATAGAAATAGAGAGAGAGAGAGGCTTTTCTTGAAATGTGTGTTTTTAATTAACTTTTAAGCTAAATTTTTTATGTAATCACCAAACAACTTTTAACTTCTTTTTTTAAGCTCTTTTTTTAGCTTTTGCTTAAAAATAGCTTCTAACAACTTAAAAAAGAGAGGATCCAAACAGGCTCTAAGACACAAGATAATGCGTACCTTAATAAACTTTTTTATGCAGTACAGAAAGAGTGAACTTACTCAGATATGATGGTCTGGCAAAGGTTGGAGGAACTCTGATATGTGTTTCTGGTGCCATATTGATGGTTTTGTATCGCGGTCCAGCTTTGATAGGATATACAGAAATGGACCTTTTAGTACAAGGTGAAATAAGTGCCAGAGGTCAGCCAGAGCCTTCTGGATGGTTAATCAGTGGTTTACAGGGTATTGGGTTAGACAATTTTCATCTTGGGGTTCTGTGCTTGATAGGGAACTGTATATGCATGGCTGCTTTTCTAGCCATTCAGGTCTGCATCTTTTTGTTATGTCCATTAAATGACTGTTGATTATAGCATTAAGGGAAAAATGTAGTGATCTGTGTCACTTTTTGCACTTGTTACCCATTTATTAAGCCCCTGCTTCTATGTGTTATATGCCTGGGAGGCTGGGATGACTCTAAATGTTCTTACTTATTAGGAACTACATTTTCAAATAAATCCCGATGATAGGAAACTTGTGATACTCTGTAACTTCTGAACAATCCATGTTCTTTTCACATTGTTTATGATTTAGATTTAAGAGTGTGAACTTCGGATAGTTGTAGTTCCTTCTATTGTAAGCACTTCTTTCATGTCCTAAGTCAATTTATGAACTGGGTTCACTTCTCTATACCTAATTTACTTTGGAACATTGAGGTTCTCTGTAAGGCTAAGGCTAATGCTTGATGATACAAATTTCAAAATGTAGCTTGGTCTCAATAGAATTGATACAAATTATCTGTTTCCAGTTTGGGGGCCTACCAAGGTTTGGTCCGCTAATATTTTGATAAAAGTGTTTGTAGAATTATGAAAAAAAATTTGGTGTTCTTCACAATTCCATTATGTGGAGTTTGGAGATTTTAGTGAGCGCTGAAACTGCCTATAAACTGTTGAATCGAAGAGTTATATCATGTTTTCTTTTTATATGAATTTGAAATTCTTTGGAGCTATGTTAGGTTGTAGTATTACAGTTCTTTGGTTGAAAGGAATAGCTACATTTATTGAAGATTAGTTCTTCCCACTTTACTTGCTTTATGACTGTATTTCATATAGTATACTGGTGGCATATCACTGTGGGTGGGTTCTTTAATGAAAATTTCTCCTAAAGCTTTATTACGTCTTTTTCTTTCCCTTTTAATTGGACTATTTTCCATTTGATCCACTTTTCTCATTGGATACTCTATTGATCTTCTTCTGACATGACCAAATCACCTTGGGAAGTTGGAAGTGAAGGGAAGGAGCTGTTAAATGATGACTTTCATTTCCCCTGTTTGTATGTTTAAAATTAGACATTCTTCCTCCAAAAAAGCCCCCACAGAAATCCCACCATACAAGGCAGAAGTTACAAAGAAACCTTCCTTTTTTTCCTCTTTTGCCCACATTCCCCTCCATCCAAACACACTCATAACAAACTCACATACTTAGATATTGGATGACTTCCCTATGCTTTCATATTTGTTAGCACATTAAATGACATAGTCAGAAGCATCATTCTTAAAATTAGGTCATTACTCATTCCAAATCTATTCATTATGAGATTAATTGTGCTTACTCCTAAATTTCTCTTAACCAATTTATTGTGATTTCAGGTTCTTTTATGTGGCAATGTTGGCGTATTAATTCATTGCCATTAATTATTTTCAGGCACCAGTATTAAAAAAATATCCCGCAAACCTATCTGTCACAGCGTATTCATACTTCTTTGGAGCTTTACTGATGGTGACAGTGTCGTTATTCATGACTAATGAGTCAACTGAATGGAGTTTGACACCGTCAGAAATACTCGCCGTTACTTATGCTGTGAGTCACTAGAATTTTAATATCAAAATACCCTTATCAGTTATTGCTGATGATTTTGGCCCATCTTACTACATTGAATTATTTGAGTTGTCTTCTAAAATTGGCCCTTGTTCATTGTTTGCATTTTTTCATTCAACACATCAGCTATCAATTATTGACGGTTTGGTAAAGAAAGGCAGTCTCACTTAATGAAGTGGGAGTCAATTTTGTTGTGGTCCTACTTTGTTGATCAAGGTGTTTTGCATTCAACACATCCTACTTTCTTGCATGTGGTTTTACAAGTTTAACCTAGTTTTGCGTTTTAGCTTTGTATTTGATTTTGATCCCCGTTAGTCTAAAATGTTTCAACTATTTATAGATTTTTTGGTTCCGCCTGTTAAATTTTTTTTGAAGGTTTTACTGGAAGTGAAAAACCTATTTTACTTAAATGATGTGGCACTTTATGGTTTATTAATAGTGTAAAAATTTGTACTCTGATAATGAATTATAATTAAACTATTCTAGTTTTGTTTTTAACTTCAATACTGAATCTGTTTCTGTTGTAACTCATCTACTACCTTCAGAAAACAGTTATGCTTATTCTAAAATCTTGTTGCATTTTATGATTGATGAGAATATTTAACTTCATATCAATTCCTTGATTTTTTTTTTGGTGTTACTTTCACTAGTTGTTAAAGCGGTCCGAATTTTGTTGGTATTTTGGTAATTCATATAGAAAATCTTAGTTCTTGACATCTTGTGCTGTTGACAATGGCTCAGACGTGATAGATCACAAATATCATGCCATCATTTAAATATTATTATAGAAATTACCCAATTCTATTTTGTATTTCTGATCTGAATCTGAAATTTTGGAACGAGAAGAAAACAAATGTTTGCAATGCATGTGGTGACTATAGTTCTTTAGCTAATGATTTTTTAGCCACTGTCATGCCTGGCAAAAAAATCCACAAAATCACTAAATAAGTTTCTCTAAAGAATTTACACCCCTAAGGCATATTCTAGTTTACTTGTAGTAACCAAGCAAGTGTGACCCTGATAGATACCAAAGAATTAAACATTCAAATCAAAACAAACACTGTCAAACAAGATGAACAGGCCTCCTGTAATTTCACATATACAAGTTCAAACGATATCCACCATACAATTTATCAGCTCATTACTAGAGAAAACTAGCTCTCCCTCCCACACACTCTCCTTCATCTTCATACATTCCTTTCCCCAACTGTTTTCCCTCCTGCCCACTATCTGTTTTCGAGGTGTCCCTCCACCCCATGCAATGAAACAAATCCAGCCTACTCTAGGCTAGGGACTAACCGCCCTTTGAAGTGTTAAACCTCTACATACCATTCCTCTCCTGCGAGTGTAGACCCCATATCATTTGCATGAACCATAGATAGGCTACCTTTTTTTGTACTAAAAAAAGAGAGTTGGAATTGGCCTTATTGGCAAAAAGCCACAAAACTGTTTCTACCTGGGAGCATCCATACTTGCAGACTTGCAGTCTTGCACAGAAGTCAAGGAGGACATTATTATGTCATTGAAAATTGTATTTATGTAATATGGTCTAAGGTGGTGAACCGAGGAAAGAAAAATACTGGAGTGAAGTAATGAGGGTATTTTTTTTTTTTTTTTTCTTAAGGATGAAAAGATTGAAAGTATCCTATGTTCTTACAAATATTTTAATGGATTTATCTTCTAATAGAAAATATTGGTGGATTTTTAACATGTAGATTTTGACAAATATTTTCCTTATTTGTTCAGGGAACCATTGCATCTGCCCTTAACTATGGACTCATTACATGGTGCAACAAGATTTTGGGGCCAGCTTTAGTTGCCCTTTATAATCCTCTTCAACCTGGGTTTTCTGCCCTCCTTTCCCAAATTTTCCTTGGAAGCCCAATTTACTTGGGAAGGTATAGCCCCTATTACTACCAGTTTATTTTTTGAAAAAAAGTTTACTATTTAGGAGTTAATAACATGTGTTATCTAGTTGAACTTAATGAAGTTTTTCTTTCAATAGCATTCTATTCTGAAATTATTTCATTGTGAAGTGTCTTATTATTATTATTAATATTATTTATCCATGTGACAACAGTATCATAGGTGGATCTTTTATCATTGCGGGTCTATATACGGTTACTTGGGCATCTTATAGAGAAAGACAGACAAGTGCTGGAGCTACTGTTCATGGCTCTTGGGTCTCTGAACCACTTATTCATGAAAAAGGTGCATTCCAGAGAGGTCACACTTTATCGGGGTCCTCCAGCGTATCCCCTAACGCAAAGCCATCAGATTGAAGAAAATGAACGTAGAAATTGGTGTCATCATTCTTCAATCTGTTACTGCTTATTGGTAAATCTATATTTTGATCAAGTCTATATGGAATGTTATTTCAGGACAAATCGTCAATGTTGTCCTGTCAAAATTATATCTAAAATTTGGAGTACAATATTATGTCTGAATTTTAAGACCAGTTTCGAAATGTGTTTTTATACGAACAGTGGCCACAGTGGCCAAAGTGCCACTGTTAGAAAAAAAAATAGCAAAATGTTAAGCCAACAGTAAATTTTGTCAAAATGTCACATGGCATATTTCGCTACACTATGTAGCGAAATACGTGTGCAAATAATTCTCTCCACGGTGTAGCGAAATATGCTAGGTCAGAACCAAAAGTGCCACGTGTCAAACAGGGAGAATTTCGCTACATAGTGTAGTGAAATTTTCCCAGTCTTACACGTGATATTTTTGGTTCTGTGCATTCTGACGCGGCATATTTTGCTACATCGCTATACAGTGTAGCGAAATATGCCACGTGGTATTTTGACAAAATTTACTATTGACGTAACATTTTGGTATTTTTTTTGCCAACGGTGACACCACTGTTCCGTAATGTGTTTTTATATCTTCGTTCAAATTTATATCTGAATTTTGAAATGCAATTTTGTGGGCTCACCGAACAAACTTTGGTGTGTGGAAAACTATTTACTAAAGGGTGGCTCCATCCCTTATTTTTTATTTTCTTTCATAAAAAGGCACAATCTAGTTGACCCATTTCTTTTCTCATTCTCCATTTTATAAAATACTCGCATCCTCGTATTCAGTCATTCACTTCAAATATTAAATAATTAAAATTATTAATTATTAAATAATTAAAATGTTTAATTAATAAATAGTTATAATTATTAATTATTACATAATAATTTACAATCAATACTAATGATTAATTATTTAAAAATTACTTAAATTAATAACTACTAACTACTAATCACTGAAATTAATAATCAATAAAATCGCCAATTACTATAATTATTATTTGATTGTAATAATATCAATTAATATATCATATAAAGATTTGTGTATTATTATAACAAATTAATGGATAGAAATTTTGTGTAAATCAATCGTAATTAACTATTAATTTATACTTTTGTATTATAATTGATTTATACAAAATTTTCATTCATTAATTATTATAAAATTACACAAATCTTTTATATGATAGACTTATCTTATATATATTATATATGAGATTTGTATTTGTCATTTAACATGACACAATAAATTTTTCTACACACACAACATTTTGTGGGACCCACACTTTTTGAAGAAAAAAAGAAAAAAAAGAATTACGGCACGCAAAACGAATCTCTATAATATTACACAATCACTTTTCCTACAACATAACTCTTGTAAAACCCATTATATATATATAAGAGGAGTATATTTACAATTTTTTTGTTTACAAACTATATTCTGTACTCCTGGGAGAACATGGAATACATAGTATAATTTCCAAAAATTTGTAAAAAAAAATTATAAACGGATCCTTCCCCATATATATAATATATATATATATATATATATATATATATATATATTAATTTATGTAACAAAATAATAATTATTAATAATTATTAATTGTAGTAGTTCTAATAAAGGGTAATTTTTTATTTTATTGGTTACTATTTTAGTAATTATCAATTATTAAATTAAGTAGTTATTAATTAATAATTATAAATTGTATTGATGAGTGATTTGTAAGTTAATTATTAAAGATTATTTGTCTATCAAAAAAAATTATTAAAGATTATTTTAATAATTATTATTTGTAATGGTTAGAAATTAATTAATTATTAGTTTAATATAGTAACAAATAGTTGGACTTATATATTATTTAATAATTTTAATTATTTAATATTTGAAGTGAATGAATATAGAAATTGAGTATTTTACCCGATGGGTGTAGTTCAGTTGGTAACTTGGAGCTGAGTTAGTGGGGTTGGATATGTGTTCGATTCCCGCTGAATGCATTCTTGGGGAGGGGGGCTGAACTTTTAGCCATCACTGTTTTCCCGCACTCCGGATTAGTCTCATAGCCGGCTCAAAGAGTCGAAGCTCATGGGGATACCGGAGGGAGCCAACTCGTCTCAAAGAGATAATTAGGGTTGAGTAACTCCAAAAAAAAAAAAAAAATTTGAGTATTTTATAAAATAAAAAAAAAAAAAGGAGGAAAGGAATGTGCACGTCAAATTGCTTTGTGGCACAATGTGATTGGCCTGTTTCCTTTTTTTTGAAAAAAAAAGGAAAAAAACGAAAAGAGTAGTGTCATTGACTATACTTTTTGATATATTTTCCCACAAACCCAAGGTGTGAATTTTTAGACGAAAACACCCCACTTTGGTCAATAAACCCAATTTTGTGTACCCTGACTACCTAAATACTTCCTACAAAATATTTTTTCTATTTAAAAAAAAAAAATTCAATCTTCTCTCCTCATTTTGGAAACTGGAGACTAAACTTGCTTCCTCATCATTATCTTAATATTACGGCCATCTTCTGTAAATTTTTTCGCCCTCTACCTATCTTTTCCACCCTTCCTCTTCCCGAATGGTGTTACACTGTTACCCCTTTTATTTTTCATTGAATTTTAACACTAACCAATTAAACGGTGTGCTTTAAATTTAAAGCTAGCATACAGAGACAGCGAAAATTATAGCAAGAGAAAAAATTAAGATGCAAAATTAATTACGTAATACTTAATAAGTTAATAGCGAGACTGACCAATGAAAATAAAGCATATCTTTTTGAGCCGCCTCTCATTTTTATATCAGAAAAATATTTTTACAATTAATGCAAATAAGTTATTTGCATTTATTTTTTAAAACGATATTGTTTTGAGATTGAAATATTAAAAATTATAATTATAAATACTATAATAATTCTGAAATAAATTAAAATTACAAAAATATTATAATTTTCGTCTCAAAATGACGTCGCAGTGAGTTTATTAGAGATAACTTATATGCCACAGAAAAAACGAATCTATTTATAATTAAGGAAAGTATAAAACAATTTGTCGAATTTTCAACTTTTCAATTTGAAAAATATTACTCTTTTTTTTTTTTTTTTTTTTTTTGATAACAAATATTACTCTTCTTTTACATAAGATAACTTCTCTCGTACTCTCTCACTCCGATTTTCGCACCTCGCCTTTTTCTTTTTTTTTTTCTTATAATGGTAGGACCATCTATTTTCTCTCTACAATATAAGATAAGTAAAAGGAGAATAATAAAACCCTTTCAATTTTCCACAAATGTCATTTTCCCTACTTAGACTCAAAATTCAAATAGATAATAATGACAATGTCCAATTTTAAACAAGCTAATAATTCATAGGTCCTTTGGATAAAGAAGAAGGGGCAAAAATGTTCTTTTCTTTTATGGGTTTTATTAATCTCCTTTTACATAAGATAATTATCTTATGTTGTAGAGAGAAAATGGGTAGGTCCCACCATTGTAAGAAAAAAGAAAAAAAGAAGAAAAAGGTGAGGTGCGAAAATCGAAGTGAGAGAAAATAAGATAAGATGTCTCATGTGAAATGAGAGTAATATTTCCCTTCTTTTATCTTCATTTTGTTTTTCAGTCAGCAAGACAAATTGGTCATCTTCCTCGTCCCTTTTTTATTTTTATTTTTTATTTTTTTATTTCGACATAACCGACGACCTTCCCAGATCTCTCTCTCTGTTCAATTTCACTATCTATCTTCCAATTCACTGCACTTTTCTCTTGAAAACTCTAACTAACATGACCAAACCCCGTTGTGCCCTTTTTTTTCTTCCCCCCTAAAACCTCACTTTTTTTTTTTCTCCCTAAAATCTCAGTGGGTTAAAGTTTCATCACGAGAAATGCCATGCTTTCTTCAACCACATAACCCCGTTTCTTCAATCCAACTGGGCATTCTCTCCATCGCAAAAAGACATGGTCTTTGGTAAAATCGCTGCACTATTATCCACTAGATTATTGCCCACCCCGCAATCCTCACCCGACCCACTTGCTTTCGGATTCCTCAACAACAACAACAACAACAACCTGCGAATCTCTTCCTCTCTTCAGGATCTCTCCTCGTACCGCCACCTTGATCTCGAACGCGCCGATGCTGAACATGTTTCAACCCATTTGAAGCAACCCCTTCACAAGGTTCAAGGGGGAACAACCAAGAGGTTCATCAGGCTTGCACTGTGCCTTACATTGTTTCTTTTCCTAGTATACTTGGTTTTGATGCTTGCTTATTCTTATTGGAATCAAGGGTATGGGAAATATTATGTTGTGCTTGATTGTGGGAGTACTGGGACTCGGGTTTATGTGTATCATGCTTCCATTCAACACAAGAGGTATAATAGTCTCCCTATAGCTATTAAGTCATTGAGGGATGGTTTGCACAAGAAACCTAGTGGGCGTGCATATGACAGAATGGAAACTGAACCTGGCATTGATAAGTTGGTGTATAATGTGTCTGGGTTGAAGGGTGCATTGAAACCATTGCTCATATGGGCAAAGAAGCAAATACCAGTGCATGCTCATAAGAGTACTTCTCTGTTCCTTTATGCTACTGCTGGTGTAAGGAGGCTTCCTGGGAATGACTCTAAATGGCTGCTTGATAATGCCTGGTCTGTGCTGAAGGAATCTCCTTTTATGTGTAGGAAGGATTGGGTTAAGATTATCTCTGGCACTGAGGAAGCTTACTTTGGATGGATATCCCTTAATTATCATAGTGGCATCTTGGGTGTTAGACCTAGGAAGGCAACTTATGGTGCGCTTGATTTGGGTGGTTCGTCATTGCAGGTTACGTTCGAGAGTGATCAACAATTGAATAGTGAGACTAGCTTGTATGTTAGGATTGGATCAGTGAACCATCATCTCACTGCATACTCTCTCTCGGGCTATGGTCTCAATGAGGCATTTGGTAAGTCTGTGGTGCATCTCTTTAAGAAAGAGTTTGGATCCACGAATGCAGATATGGCTAATAAAAAAATAGAGCTCAAACATCCTTGCTTGCAGTCTGGGTACAGGGAACAGTACATGTGTTCTCATTGTCCTTCCAATAACAAAGGTGGATCAGGAACACCGGTAGTGCTTATTGGTGCTCCAAATTGGCAACAATGCAGTGCACTTGCAAAAGCTGCTGTAAATTTGTCTGACTGGTCCAATCTCAGTGCAGGACTTGACTGTGAAGTAAAACCTTGCGCTTTGCGTGATAATCTCCCTCGCCCGTATGGCCACTTTTATGTGATTTCTGGATTTTATGTGGTGTATCGGTTTTTCAACTTGAGTTCTGAAGCTACGCTTGATGATGTATTGGAAAAGGGTAAGGATTTCTGTGAAAAAAGATGGGATGTTGCAAAGAAAAGTGTTGCTCCTCAACCCTTTATTGAGCAGTATTGCTTTAGGGCACCATACATTGCCTTACTGCTGAGAGAGGGTTTGCACATTAAGGATAACCAAATAACTGTTGGCTCTGGAAGTATCACTTGGACACTTGGGGTTGCCTTGTTGGAAGCTGGGAAAGCATATTCCACTAGATTTGGGCTTCGTGACTTGGAATTGCTCCAGATGCAGATAAATCCTCTTATTCTTCTGCCCATTTTGTTGCTTTCTTTTATTCTACTTCTTTGTGCTTTATCATGTGCTGGCAATTGGGTGCCAAGGTTTTTCCGGAGGCAATATCTTCCCATTTTCAGGCATAACAGTGTTTCCAATGCTTCTGTTCTTAATATCCCATCTCCTTTTCGGTTCCAGCGATGGAGTCCAATGAACTCTGGTAAGCTATTTACACAAATGATGATTTCCGATTACCTAATACCAATAACTTAACAGATGAACTGTTTAGTTCAAAGCTTTTTCAAGATGCTTACTGATCAGTCTTTTTTTTGTTTCTCTTGTAATTTTTACTATTAAATGTAGTATAATGGCCAACATTCAATTATATATCCTGGTAAATATTTTACTACTATGACTTATTTTTGTTGCGTGCTCATCTTGTATCAACGCTTGCAGTTGTCCCAAATATGGATGAACTCCAATTTTCACTTATTCTGTGGATGATTTCAGCTTCTTCTTTTTTTTTTTGTAAATTATAACCAAGTTGCTCCTTTGGGATGGTTTGTGCATTCTGTATACAGTGTACTTGAGATTCCTTTTTAGAATTGACCTTTGAAGCCACTATGGTACTGCAGGGGATGGAAGAATAAAGATGCCACTCAGCCCAAGAATTGCAGGTCCACAAGAAAGCCCATTTGGCCTGGGGCATGGTCTTGGTGATAACAGTGGTGGCATCCAGCTTATGGAGTCTTCCTTGTATCCATCAGCTAGTAGCGTCTCACATAGTTATTCCTCAAATAATTTAGGGCAGATGCAGTCTGACAGCAGTAGTATGCCTGCCTTCTGGTCCCCCCACAGAAGTCAGATGCGCCTACAGAGTAGGAGGTCACAATCTCGAGAAGACCTGAATTCCTCCGTGGCTGAAGCACACTTGGTGAAGGTTTAGGGCACATCATCTTCTGGAAACATTGGTATGATTACGTTAATATATCTCTTTTTAATCGACCAATATTTCCTTCTGAGTTTTGCTTTACCAAGTTTTACATGGGAATTCTTTTGTAACATCGAATCGCCTATTGGTAAGTAATAGTCAAGCTAATGCATATTCTTTTTGTTGAATGTTCCTTTTGTATTTTATTAAGTAATTACAAATTCCTTACATATTAAGATTTCCACACTTTTCTCCTAAGTTTGTAAATTTTGGACTAAAACTTGTACATGAGCAATAACTGTCAAAATTGTACATCAGTTGTAGACCAATAAAATTGGACTGGCCAAGTTGAAAATTTTCTGGGCAATTGATCCTCGACATCTTGTCATTGTACTGGCATCAGTAAAGATGTTCCTAGTTCGTAAAGGATATCTCTGAGTCCATCTATATGTAATGTTTCTCTCAATCTTCACTGCAACTTGTAAGAATTTATCTGTCCTAGCATTTCAGAGGTTTTTGTCATGGAGATGACTGGAGCTAAAGATGCAACCAGATCAATTGATTCCAAATGAATTTGCTTGTCCTGGATTTCACTTCCGAACTGGATTCCTCTACAAGTTGCAACGCACAAAAAAGCTCTCTTATTCTAGGAATCTGCATCATCAAGAGCACTCTCCCCAATGGCTACTTGATGTCTCCATGTTCTGCCTCAGTGGTGTAGTTTTTCTGGTGCCACTTAGGCTTCGGAAGTCAATTCAAGCATCAAAGACTAACCAGCACAAGAAAACCTTTTATTTTTCATCAAATTGCCAATATCAATTAATTTGTGACAGTTTATATACCATTCTTTAGACTAATTTAACTGTCAGTACTACAGAAAATCTCCTCTTGTTTTCATAGGTGAATGATGACTTGGGAAAACCAATTGAAAATGATGAACCACGGGGAGAAGTTGTAACATAGTACAATGCTCACATCTTATACATCAAATAAGCTATTGAATTAATTGCACAACTTGCAAGCAACTTTCGCTTTCAAAAGATGACTGCCATTGCATTTACTATTTTAAGTAAAGCATTTTTGGTTTGAAGATTTAAGCTGCATTTCCATTACTCTTCAGTATTTGCTTTCATTGCAAACCTGAGTTATGGTTTTGGTTTATGAATGGTTACTACTAAACCTTATCCCTACCATGCATTAATTAATTATCAAACTCAACTAATCACTTATTTACATATTGTTATCTTTAAATTTTGATGCAACGGGTATTAATTATCAAACTGAACAAAGCATACGGGTATTTTTATATTCAAATAAAAGACATTTACAGACAAAAAGTACTATTTTAGACAAAAAGTACTATTTTAGACAAAAAGTACTATTTTTTTTTTTTAAGTTATGTTGTGGTTTATTTGATTGTTTCAAAAATTGTTCAACCGATTGCTTTGGGTCAAATTATCTCCACTGTCATTAAAATCTACGAGGCATAAAGAAGTTGTGGATGTTGTTATTTTAATCGAAGAGTCAAGGTTCCTCTGCATTTCATATTCTTAATATCTTATTCACATAGGGAGCCCGATAACCGTGTCCAAAATCCAAAGGTGTCTGAAGTTAAAAACAAAAACAGAAAACAAAAACAACTCAGACATGTTCTCTAAATTTGATTTTAAAAACAAAAAAACAGTTGTAGTTTTCAAAACAATTTTTACAAGACAGGTCTTACCAAACGAGTTTTTTTGTTTTTTTGTTATGAAAACTAAAAAACTGTTTTGCAAAATAGAAATCAAACCCTTTGTTTTGGAGTTTGGAAGGAAAGAAAACCAAAGAAATTCAAGGGAGAAAAAGAGGAAAGAAATGAAGGATATTCTCTTCCCTTATTTGGGAATTAAAATCCTCCAAATTAGAGAAACTTTAATTTTAAGAACAAGAAAGATTTTGGAGAGTTTTGTAAAAATACCAAATTCTTTTCCTTATTCTTTTTAAACTCACAAACAAAAAAAGATATTAATAAAATTCTTTTCTTCTTTTTCTTTTCTTTTCTTCTTTTTCTTCTTTTTCTTAAAACTAACTCCCAAACAAGTCCAAAAGGATCTTCTCCTTGCTTCAGGGCGAATGTATCACTTACAAAGCTAATTAAGATATGCGCATGGTTGCTTTATAAGGCTTCTTCGCAAGGTTTAAGTTATGTTGAACTAAACGGAAGCTGCAAAATTTTAAAACAAGATGTGTGCATTGCGTTAATAGAGGACAAATTCTGTTGCATTTTGCACTAGTACAAGATCATGTTGTGGTCCAATTAGACATAAATTGATAGGGTAATGAGGAATTATTTTTGGATTATATCAATTATCTCAAATTTTGGTATCCATCGTGGTCTAGACGCATTTGTCCAATCAACGGGTGTCAAGGAATCCTTGAACTCATTTGATCCCAACCAATTCATGTGCAAGGGATAGAATAAACATAAGTACACAAGTAGGTGAATTTTTTATTTTATTTTTTTGATAAATAATGTGTGGAATCTTCAGGTATACTAAAAATATTTTCGTTGCGAGAATTGACAGGTGGAACCTACAAGCATAAGCACGTTGTCCTTACCAAGCAGTTATTGACTTGAATAATATTATTGATACTAAAATATAATATATACTTATTCTATTATATAAGATGAATCTTTAAAGATAAAAACTTATTAAAAATTGAGAATAAAGCATATTACTTCTGATAATAATTTAAAAAAATTAAACACTTAACGAATTTTTAAAATATTAAATGATTATATAACATGTATACTAGAAAATCCAAAAAAAAAAAAAATGCAAACTCGTTCATCAACTATTGGTTAATGTTTATCATTTTAAAAAAATTAATTTTGTATCATTTTAAATGAAATAATTATCTTTTAATATATTATCTTTTCTTTCTTCTATAATATTTATTATTTTGGGAATAAAAAATTATCAAATGTATATCAAAATACGATAATTTTACCTAAAATAGTACAAAGATATAATTTTACGGTGGGATGGGGAATGGATGTTGTAATTTTTGTGTTTATAACTTTTATATATATTTACAAATTTTAATATGACGTATAGATAAACATAAAAATTTCAGTAGTAGCGGTAACAAATAATAATAATGGGTGCCTGCATGACTCGGACGCGTGAATCAAGATACTGATTCACGTGTATGGAAACAGGAATACTAAAAATATTTTCGTTGCGAGAATTGACAGGTGGAACCTACAAGCATAAGCACATTGTCCTTACCAAGCAGTGATTGAGTTCAATAATATTATTGATAGTAAAATATAATATATACTTATTCTATTATATAAGATAATTCTTTTAGAGTGAATCTTTAAAGATAAAAACTTTATTAAAAATTGAAAATAATGCATATTACTTCTCATAATAATTTTAAAAAAAATAAACACTTAATGAATTTTTGATATTAAATAATTATATAACATGTATCCTAGAAAATCCAAAAAAAAAATGCAAACTCGTTCATCAACTATTGATTAAGTATATATCATTTTTAAAAAATATTTTATGTCATTTTAAATAAAATAATTATATTTTAATAATATATTACCTTTTTTTCTTCTATAATTTTTTTTTAAATTTTGCAGATGAAAAAAAATAAAAAAATTATTAAATATATATCAAAATAGGATAATTTCACTTAAAATAATACAAAGATATAATTTTACGGTGGGTTGGGGAATGGATGTTGAGATTTTTGTGTTTATCTCAATTTTTATATATATTTACAAATTTTAATATGACGTATAGATGAACATAAAAATAAATTTCAGTAGTAGCGGTAACCAATAATTAATAATAGTGGGTGCCTGGGTGGACCGACACATGAATCAAGATAGTGACACCTTCCTGAGCTCACTGTCTCCCACAAAGAATCCATGAAAACAATACGGCACTCGCCGTGAAAGCTTCACCGCCGCCACAACATCTAACTCCGGCGACTTTGCATCCATCAGACATCACCAAGAACTTCGACTCTACCTTTTTCTTATCGTGAATTTTATTAAAATATTTTATTTTTAATCTTTTAACTTCACAATGACGTTTTGCAAAAGCTACTTGCTGTGACAAGAGAAGAAATTAAACACTAAGTCAATTTTTAGAATATTAAATAATTATATAAAATGTACAATTGAAAATCCAAAAAAAATAAAAATAAAAACTCATTCATCAACTATTATTACTTGCACTATAAACTATATTCGAAATATTTTTTTTACAGCAGAAATTTTTTATCTACCATAAGAAAAGAGGTAAAATTCATTAATTACCATATTTTTTTTATTTATGGATTTCTCTATTCTTCTTTTTTGGTCCTCAGCAGATTTCATGACACCCATTTTACTCTCTAGCAAATAAAAAGGTCATCGTGGTCTTTAAGAAATTTAAAATGGACCCGTTTAGTTAAAATCGTGGTCCCTCACAAATACAAAAAAAATCCATATTGATCCCTAAAAGAACTAAAATGGGTCCATTTTGAATTTCTTAAGAACCATGATGGACTTTTTTATTTGCTAGGGACTAAAGCGGACATCGTAAAATTTGCTGAGAACCAAAAATGATATTTATTCTTTTTTCTATGTGACAGATAATAAAAAATTTCTACAGGAAATGAAAAAAAAAACATTTTCCCATAAACTATATACTTCGTAGTTTGAACCACTCGCTAGCAATTACATACGGAGGGGAATGGATCCTTGAGATTTTTGTATTTATCTCAATTTTTTAATGTATTCACAAATTTTAATACGACATAGAGATAAAAGGAATACTAATCTTATGTCATAAGAAATTAATATTTCATTTCATAGATATAAAATATATCTGATCCACTTATTTATTTATTTATTTTAAAAGAGTGGATTTCACTTTATATCTATAATATGAGATATTAATTTTCTGAAATTAATATTTCTTTAGAGATAAATATTTTTTTCTGGTGTGGAGAGATAAATATATTAATTTTTAAATCAGATTCTTATAATTGATTTTTTTATTATCATTTCATTACCACTCTAATTACTATTGAATAACAGGAAAAGCTCGATGAAAAGAAAAAAAAAAAAAAAAATTTGAATCAAATAATAATTAGAGTGGTAGTAAAGTGAAAAAAAAAACTAATAATAAGAACATACCTCTTCAATAGTACCGATAAGCAATAATAATAATAGTGGATTGGAAGGTAGGACCCGGACCCGGGGACCCATGAATCATCACAGTGACAATTTTCTGAGCTCACTGTCTGTCACAAACAATCCATGAAAACCGTACGGCACCCGCCGTGGAAGCTTCACCGCCGCCACAATATCCAACTCCGGCGACTTCGCATCCATCACCAAGAAGTTCGACTCTCCCTTCCTCTCATCGTGCACGTAACTCACCAAGTACCCATCATCTTCTTCAATCTCAGGGTTATCAGGTTCCCTCGCCACAAAAAACGGTTCACCGCCGTAGCACCCTTCGCCGTACATCCTGCACCCCACCGTACGCTCCTCCTCTTTCGACACGTCAAGCTTAACCACCCCCGAAATCTTCGGCATTGGATCCCCAACCGCCGCGTACACGAACCTGTTCTTCTTCCCAACGAAAGCTTGGTTTATCACCGCGAAATCAAGGTTCCTTTCCGACATGGGTTTCCTCGTGACTATCCCCGTGTCAAGCTCGATCGTCACCTTCTCAACCATGGCGTGAACAAGATCCATTCTCTCCATCGTGTGCTCCACCGACAGAATATTGGGTGCCACCAAAGTCACCGTTTTTCCATCATCATCTTCATCCCACGCGTTAATGGCGTGGATTATGTTGAACCCCGGAACATCGAACCACTTTATCTGGGACTCATCAATGGCGTAACGAGGTAGAATTCCAAGCCTGGATATTTTTGACGGGTCGGATCCCACCGGAGATCCACCGGCGATCATGTCAAGAGGGTTCATTCCGAGCTGAATGTCTGCGAAGATGGCGTGTTTCTTCGTGATGGCGAAGTCGTGGAGGAATGAAGGTCTTGTCATGGAGAATATAGGAACATCTTGGTGTTTTCTTCCATTTGAATCAAACCGGAAATAGGTGAGAAAAGGTGGCACAGGACCATAACGAAAGGCGAAGCATTCACCAGTTTCAGGGTCAATCTTAGGATGTGCGGTCATGCTCATGAACAGTTTTCCATCAAAATCATGGCGACCGAGTGTTTCAATGTCAGCATTTGGGGTTAATCGAATCATATAAGGAAGATCAGATTCACCTAATGCAAAAAGACGGTTCCCAAACAGAGCCAAACTTGTGTTTGCTAAGCCAATACCATTGGAGGGGTTGTATTGACCCGTTAACACTCTCGCTGCAGACACAGAACCGCGTGCTGCTGATGCTACCAAACTGTTGAATCCTGAGAACACGTTTGGAATGAGAGGGTAACCAGCTTCGTTTTCTATGTTGTACTTGTAGGTCTTCACATAGCGGCTGCAGAGTGTGGCTTTGCCTTTTGAGATTCTGAGAGAGTGAAGCATTCCATCGCCGTCGAAGAGATGGTAAGGTCCTCGAGGGAGGAATTGTGGGTTGGGACCGTTTCTGATGTATGCACCGTCAAGGCAAGGTGGGAGTGTTCCTTGTGTTATCTCGCACTCTGTTGGAGGTAGCTCGTTAACGGGTGCAAAGTTTTGGGACAAGACGTGTCTTGGGTCAACAGATGGTTTCAGTGGAGGGTCTATGAAGTTGTTGATGATGTCGTCGAATGCATTGAAGATTAGTGCCGGCACTGATGTTTCTGTTCTTTTTGATGTCTTTACATGTTGTGGTCTCTTGGTCACGGTTTTTTGGGTAGGAGGAGGGGGTGTTGTTGGGATGGTTCTTGTTGTGATGTTATGGGTTTGGGGCTTTTCTTCGGTTCTGGCAGATGATATATTAAGGAGAGGGAAATGTTGAGATGAGGATGGTGTTGTTGCCATGATGGGTTTGGGGACCATGTTGCTGTGGCTGTGTTAAGGAAATGTTTGAGATGGAGAGGGCTTAACTACTGAGTGATACTCATCTTGTGCTCTGAGTTTTTATTTATGGAGTGCCTGGAGGAAGTAAATGCCAAAACAGATTCTTAAAATTGTTGGACGGATTGGATTTTACTTGCTTCCCACCGATTAAAATTTAAGATATTTCAACATAATAATAAAACAAAAGAAAAAGTATTTATGGATACAACTTTGTGACATTTTAAATAAAATAATAATATTTTAGGAAATAGGTTATTCTACCTATCATTCTTTCTGCCTACTACTCTAAAACACCATTAGATCAGAATCTTAATTAACATTTATTTTTCTCTCTTCTTGAGATTCTGATCTAACAGTGTTCGAGGGTGACCATTAGATCAGAATCTTAACTAACATTTATCTTTCTCTTTCTTCTTGAGATTCTAATCTAACAGTGTGGGAGGGTGGTAGACAAATCTAGGCAGAAAAAATAGTAGATAGAATAACATATCTCATATTTTGGTACATAATTAATAATTTTATACATTTTTTCTCCTCTACTTTTTCTAATTTTATAAATGAGAGATAATGTTAAAAATCACTAAATATATACCAAAATTATTTTGTTTCTTATAAAATAATATAAAGTTACATTTTAAAAGAATTACAAATGTTTTTTGGAAAAAAACAAAACTTAATTTGTGTTAAGTTTAGACAACCTTCCCATAATCATTTTTTTTTACAATTTTTATTCCCATGAATAGAATTGGATAGAAATAATATTTGACAAAATTGATTTATTTTTTATTCATGAGAATGAACTGGTACAATTTCTATGCTAAGGAACAGAAAAAAGTAATTTTTTTTTTTTCCCTGGCACAAAATGAGAAACATTTGTCTCTTTGAATCATTTTCCACAACTACATCATCACCATCACCCAAACCATCCCTACACGACCACCGCCACCATCGTTGTCGTCGTCCTCGTACCACAACCACCACGATACCACCACCTCCACGCATCACTACTAGAGCTGACAAAATGGGCTCGGCTCGGCGGGCCAACCCGCCCAACCCGCTAAACGGGGTGGGGCGGGCTGAGTTTTTCAACCCATCTCAAAGGCGGGGCGGGGCAGGGCAGGTTCATTTTCTGGTGGGTTGATGGCGAGTTGATGGCGGGCATAGGCGGGTCAGTGTAAAATAGGCTCAGGATGGCCGGCCAACCCGCCCAACCCGCCAAACAGGGCGGGGCGGGCTGACTCATTTTTTGGCGGGTTGATGGCGGAGAGGGATGGGCCGCCCACTTTGCCACCTCTTATCACTACTACCATGCCACCGTCACCACCACCACTACCATTATCTCCACCTCCACCATTGCCACCACTACGATCATCGTCACAGTCGCTGTCGTCACCACCACCACCACTACCATCACTACGCCATCGCAACCATCAATACCACCATCGCCACCGCCACCATTACCACCACCACCACCACCATGCCACAACCACCGTCACCAAACCATATTAAAAGAAAAGTGATGATCCGAAAAAAAATTATGCTTAATAGAATGATTTTTTATTTTATTCGTTGTGTTATAAAACGTAATTTTCATTCTCAGAATAAAAATAGAACATTCCTCACAAACTGTTTCAAGGGACAGAAATAGAAAAGAATTTTTTCTTTTCAGAAATAGCGTCGGGAAACAGAATAGTTGTCATGACACCCTTAATATTTTGAATTTTTACTCGGTTGTACTTTTAGGAGGTGTATTGGATTGAGATTTCAAATGATTTTAATGGATTATTTTTGGACAAAAAAATCTATTGGTATTCAATTAGAATTTTAAAGGACTGAAACAAAGTCACGTGATATTCGATTAGGATTTTAAAAAATTATTTTAGAGTTCGTCCAAATTTGTTGGTATTCAATAAGGATTTTAAACAAAGAAAAAACAATCACGTGGTATTAAAAAATCTGGCGATTTTAATGGATTTTCTATTGGTATGGATTTCGTGAGACTTTTTAGTGAGAAATATAAATAGTATGCCTTTCTCACAATCTCACCTTAAACCCTAGAATTTCTTGAGATTTCTCTATTGTAATGTCTTCTTCTTCTTTTAGTGGATTGACCCGCTCGAAACCGAATTCCGCAATGGGAGCTTCGTCAAAGCTCAAAAACAACAGATTTTTGAGCGATTTTTGTCACAAAACAATCCAGAAATAACAAACCAACAAGATTATAATATAATTCATCTCAAAAACAACAGATTTTTTAGAGCTTTTAGAAGTTTAAAAAATGATTTTCAAGCTATGAGTCACGATTTTTCATGGTACAAAAGGTATGACTTTTGTATTAAAAACAACATAAAACAATGGAAAAACTAAAACCATCAAACCAATTTTTGTTTTACATCAATGAAACAAGATCAATTTAAAGAAAGATGGAAAATTTCATAATATAAATTCTGTATTTCGTAACAATACATTCATAAACAAAATTTCTTTGCTATAGAAAACAATTTCAAATAATTTTTGTGTCAATAGATAACTAAAAACCTGTTTTTCAAAAGCCCTAAAGCAATTTAAGGTTTCAATGTATCGATTGAAAATAATTTGAGAAATTTTCTAAACTTTCTTGTAAAAAAATCCACAAATTCAGATTCGAAATTTCTTCTAAATGAAAACATGCATATGATGTATGGTTAGAAAACTCTCATCTTGTAGAACAAAAAATTCCAAAATTTTCAAGATCAATTGCAAAAATTTCCAAATGAAAATTTAACATGAACTTTAGGTTCTATATGCAAATTTAGAATTATTTTAATAAATAATAAAAATTTGGGTCTTATAATCATATATTAATAACTCTGATACCAAATGAAGAAGATAATTTTTAACTCATTGGTCAAACCCAGTAGCATGAACGAGAAAATGTTAATGCATTGAGGACTAGTATAAATTTAGATACGTGGAGATTTGTTGCTTAGTATTTTGAATGTTTGTTAAAAATTATATTATATTTTACTGATTGAGAAAATTATATTAGGTTTTACTTTTTTTTAATAATATCATTTCATTTCTTTGTTATTTTTTATTGACTCTTATAATTTTGAATATTTGTTAAAAGTTCATATAGTTTTTTAAAATCTTATAAATCCATATTGTCCTTTCAAATTTTATAAATTTTATTAAAATCCTTTAAAATCAAATCTCATGAAATCTTGATTTTAAAAAAAGTCTTTTAAAAAAGTCTTTAAAGTCCTTCCATTTCTAAATAGTCTTTTAAAATCTATAAGATTTTTTATCTCAGAAAAAATGTTTTAAAATCATAATCCAATACACCTCCTTATATTAAAAAATAATTTTGTTTTATACATACGTTAATTAAGTTTTTTACCTGTGTTAAAAGAGATTGGAGAGGATCGATCCAAATATTACCAATTAATTTAAAATCAGACAGAATTAACCATTTAAAGAGAACTAATAAATTGATCATATTAATTGTCTGCACAGTAGAAATCGAGAATGAGAATGAGAAATGATAATAGTTGAATTGTTTATAAAAAAATTATGATCATTTTATATGATTTCAGAGAATCCATTAAAAATTATGAAAATTGATGGTTTTTCACTTTCAATCAAATTTTTTTACTTTATTTTTTCCAATTTTTTATTTCACCAAAATCAATTTTTTAATATAAATAAAAACTTAAGTATGAGGTCCAGGAACATATTCTCGGTACTCAAGTAAGTACTTCCTTTAATGAAATGGAAAAAATATATATAGAAAAGTAATCATAAAAATAAAGATAGGTTAAATATATTACTTTTTCTATATTTGATAAAAGATAATGTATCGAAAATATTTTCGAGGTTCAGATATTTTGACATAGGAAATCGGTCAAATACTATTCTTGGCTTTAATTTTCTTTATATTCTTTTAAGAATAATAGAGTGGTATCTTCTTTTTGTCATGCATGTCACTATCTGCGATTCTTCCGCTAACACGCGTAACACTAGATTATTTCTTTACTCTTCAGTCTCCATGGAAACTCAATCATGTGTCCGCTTGAGATCAACTATAATATCAGTGTACTATAGTGAGTTGAGGGTAAATTTCTAACAATTGAATAATATAAATTACATTTCAGGTGACAGTACCATTGCTGCTGTATCCTAAACATACTTCGATTATTTTGAACATCCCTAGACAGTACCATTGCTGGACCAATCTGAAATTTAATATGAGTACTACTGTCTAATGACACTGAATTTAACCAATCTTCAGTGACTGAGCTATAAATAACAGAAGTATGTTTATGATATAGTAGAGATCACATGAACTAATCAGAACTTGGATCCATGACACTAAATAAATAAAGCGGGAAAGATTCTCTCATGTTTAAAAGTGATTATGTGGTCATGTTATTTAATTACAATCATTCATTGATAATGACATAAGAGAAAAATATATATATAATATTTAAATAAGTAGTTGTAATCAAATAACATGACCACATGATCACTTTTACCCATGAGAAAATCCATTCCTAAATAAAGCTGCTGATTTGTTTGATGTAAGAGAGGAAGAAACCCACCACCTTGCCCTTAATTAAATTCAAAAAGGCCCCTCTGTTTGTTTCACCCTTAGCCTCAATCATATTTTCAGCAATCCAACGCATGAATAGCGTACAAAGCTGGCAAAGAGGTTGAAAGTTAAAATCATGTAGATAAGAGCACTGTAGTACGAAGAATCCGAGAATATTTATATTTTGGTAATACATGCATCGAAAATTTGGTGTATCTTTTACTTATATTGTAACACGTGTCTTATTTTATATTAAATTAAAATATCTCTTAATTTTAAAATAAATTATTTATTATTGATTTGACAAAGCAAGACACATGTCACAATATATATGAGTGAAAGATATAACGAATTTAAGATGCATCGGTAGCACCAAAAAAATTTCCGAAGAATCCATAAATGCCCAGATGGTTCCTATCAGTTTTGCTATCAGTTTTGCTAACCACATTGTGCTCGATTTCA